TCCCCACTGCAAGTCTGTCGATCCTGAATCAAGTCACTTTCCATTTAATCTAACTGCTGTAAATCAGAAAAAAAGTGATGTTATAGAGATCTCATCTTGCGATTTCCTCCTCCTATAGGATAAAACTTAAATATGATGAGCATCAAGGTCCAATTTAATAATTCTCTCAATTATTTCACAATCAGATGAACGAGAAACATCATTGTCAGCAAAATGAGATGTTAATCGCTGATGGTGGAAATAGGTGGAGACATCTTAATCTAGTCTAACTCAAGTGCAAGTGTATGCTGAGATTTTCCAAAGTTTATTATCCACAAAAGATGATGAGGAAATGGTAACATCCATTTTATTGTTGCATTAAATGAACCTTCAACTCTGGTGAGAAAAAAAAATAAAAAAAAACAAATGAATGATCTCTTTATTTTTGCAACTATTCATGCCTCGATATAAACTCATGTATGCATACGATCACAGTTTGAAGTGTCAAAAATAAAGAGTGCATAATAAATTAAATAAATTAATTAAGAAATAAATCAATTTTTGGTAACACTCGACAATGTTATATTGTTTAACATTAGTTAATGCATTAGTTAACATGAATTAACAAAGATAAATGCATCTATTAAGCATTACTTAGCCTTCTGAAAATATGTTGGATACATGGTTTTGATTGAAGTTGGGGTCCAAGAAAATCAATAATCACTGTTTTAATAAACCCACAGATGTTAGTAACATTGGTTTTTGTTGGGTTAGCAGTAAGTCATGTTAATAAAGAATAACCTAATGTTAGTAAAACATTAGGTAATGTTGGAATCGTGTACACTTGACAATAATGTTCGTAATGTCATTAATAAATGCTTTGTTAACGATAAATCATGTTAGTAAAGAGTTAACAAGCATGAATAACAGGTGAAGCTGAGATGCACACAACTAGAGAATCGATTTAGAGCTCGACATTGACCAGGAACTATGAACTTATCATAAACTCTACCAATTATGTACTAAAGTGTGCATTAGTGAACAAGTAGTTAACATGACCAAAGATTTTTTTTTTTTTGTTCATGTTAACCAATTCATTAATTAACATAAGTTTTCATGAACAAGAATTCAGAATTGTGAATAAATGTGTTGGCACAAAAAAACGAGAACACAATATAACTGTACTGAATTCTAAACTGGATTGGCAGCCAGTGTAGAGAAACCAGTACAGAAGTACTGCTGTATGTTTTTAGATCCCTCCATGGCCTGGCCCCTGAGTATATTTCTGAGCTAATTAATATACACGAACCTGAGAGATCTCTTCGCTCTAAGGATCGACTTTATTTTGCAAGTTCCACGATCACGCTTGAAATGTTGAGGTGATAGAGCTTTTTCAGTAGCAGCTCCAAGACTTTGGAACGATCTTCCACCCTCCTTAAGAACAGATCCAACTTTTGAGTCTTTTCAGAGGTCACTGAAAACACACTTATTTTCTTTAGATTTTAATCATGTGTTGTGAGTTTATGTATTTTGGTTCTGGTATGTTTGCATGCGTTTTATCTGTTTTTATGTACAGCACTTTGGTACCCACTGTGGTTTGTTAAAAAGTGCTCTAGAAATAAATTGAGTTGTTGTTCATTATTAGGTCAAGTTAACAAATACATTAGTGTATGAGTAAGTAATCATTAATGGATCAAGCTGTTCATGTAAAGAGATGCATTAGAATATGGGTAAAATACCATTAACAAATATTAAGTACTAGTTAATGTTAACAAAGATTAAGTAATGCTTAATAGATATGTTATTCTTTGTTAATTCATGTTAACTAATGCATTAACTAACATCAACTAATGCAACCATTTTGTAAAGTGTTATCCAATTTGTATTGATCGATGAATTGATTTGTCAGTGACCTTGTCAATGATCCAAAGTCACCAAAAATGACTCATATTTTGGTCTGTCCCTGATAAAGATCTTTCACAAGAACTCAAAAGACCTGTAATATAGCACGTGAGTCATATGTACCATGCTTCTGATACTTTCACCTTTCCTTGCGACTTCTTGAAACTCAAAACCATCATGTGAACAATCAGCATGGGAAAGAAGAAATAGTCACACAGGTTTGGAATGACATATAGGAGTTGTATTGCTCCTTTAAACAAGATAACGTATGGATGAACGGTCCCAGAGCACAACCAGTGCGCAAATGCGCCATCAGCAGTTGTGCGAGTCAAATAAGGAAAAGAGATAAAAAGACAGAGAGAGAGAGAGAGAGAGAGAAAAAAAGAAAGAGAGACCCCTAAGTGCTTTCTCTCGCTGGCACAGAACAATGATTCACGCCATTGCCCGCTGTATCCCACAAATGAGGCATTACGTACAGCTACGGCTACCGTTACTGCAGGAAATGCATCCTCTCAACACTCATTTCATTCCCATCCTTCTGTTTTCCTCTATTCATCCTCCACTTCACATTGTATCAGAGCTGGCGAAGGGTCTCCTGCCACGACGGGCTGCAAAATAACAACTGTCACCTTCAGCACAATTCATTAAAGCAATTTAATGCTGCCGCCTTCCAATGTAATTTTTATAATTGAAATTTAATTCTCCTACGATATTATGGGCTTTTTTTTAGTAGGAAGGGGGTTAATTGACATTTGTGGTAATTAATTGCCAGGCGGAGGGATGTTTATGTGGCGAAGTTAAAAACAAAAAGTGACGTGGAGAGCAGAGAAGAAGGGAGACGTGCTGAGATGGTCTCATCATCACGGCCTTCCCTCCTGCGGATGAAAGGAAAGGCGAGGGATGGAGGGATGGAAGGAGCGACTTCGCTTCGCAGTTGGGGATTTAATTGCGCAAGGATTCCATTACCTCGGCACAAATGTCACGTTTGCTTCTGATCGGGGGCAAAGGCGGGGACTGGCATCGTGCCAGGTCTACAGTGCAGAAAATGGTCTGCCAGTCACAAATGTACAAGCACGAGGCAGAAAAAGTGAAGAAGATAGGAAGACGAGAGTATGACAGCAAAGCAAAAGTGTGAAGGGACAGTGACACGAAAAGTGGGTCAAAGGCAAATGGGCTGAAGTGTCAACATTTGCGTACAGAGAACAAAAACAGGCCAGATAAAAAAAGATCTTAAGAATTTTGGGGTTTCAAGATTACTCTTCAAGTACACAAGAAAGAAGAGATCTCTTTAATGTCTCTTTAATGTTTTTTTATCCTAGATAGCATTGAGAATAAACTGAGACTTAATGAAGTATCCTTTATTAAGATTTTTATGATTTTTTACAAAATCAAATAATGACTGTGTTTAATCTGATCACATGCCCACAATAAAATTAAAAGTATGTGTCAGTATCGCATCACAGTATCTGATTTCTTACCACATGATTACTGCGGCTAACAAATTCTGAATAACTACATATTGTGATATCTACAATAAAAATAATAATTAATAAACTAAACAAAATAAGGGTGACACAGTGGCTCAGTGGTTAGCACTGTTGCCTCACAACAAGAAGGCTGCTGGTTCAAGTCCAGACTGGGCCAGCTGGCATTGGTGTGTAGAGTTTGCATGTTCTCCCCGTGTTCACGTTGGTTTTCTCTGGGTGCTCCAGTTTTCCCCACAGTCCAAAGAAATGTGAAATAGGGGAATTAGATGAACTAAATTGGAACAAAACATGTGTCAGGTTACTGCTCCACAATGCTGCTAGATTATAAGATGATATTTCATTTCTTAAACATTACATATATTATCAATACTGGTATATCACCCTAAATAAAAGCTAATGCTAATGGAGATAATAATAATAATACTAATATTTGTCCTGAAAAAAATATTCTAGAGGTGACTTCACATAACATCTGATGTTGTCTCATACTAGGGTTGAGTGATTAAGGGAAAATATCTAAATTGCAATTGTTTCTTTTTTCAACAGATATTGCAATTTAATTTACGATTGAGTTTTGTAGTTAAGCTTCAGCTCAATAATCTGTGAGCAGAGGCAACACTTCGGCAACAGCTCTTAAAAATGACCTGTTTTTGTTTGGTGTCTGTGACTTTGAAAACAAAATATTCCCATAGTACAAATGCTGCTTTTCTTTGTTATTAGTTCATCTATTAATGCTTCAAAAGCAGCAGATGCTATAATCCCACTTTTCAGCGCATTCCTATTTGTTTTTACTTTTTCTCTTTTTTTCTTTTACTCTGAGCAGGTGAATCTAAATAGCGATTGAAATATTATTAAATTGCACAGCCCTATCTCATACATCAATCAATCAACAGTTTCTGATACAATAAATTAGAGATCAGAGACTCCACTGAAGTGTAAAGTTTCAGAAATTGTTTTTTTTTAAATAATGCCTTTATTCGTTCACTTATTTTCCTTATCCTTATTTTCACAGCAGAATGAACCGCCAACTAATTCAGCATATGTTTCGCGCAGTGCATGCCCTTCCAGCTGTAACCCAGTATTGGGAAACATACACTCTCATATTCACACAAAACGTTCAATTTAGTTTATTCAATTCACTTATAGCGCATGTCTTTGGACTGTGGGGGAAACTGGAGCACCCGGAGGAAACCCATACACACACTGTAAAAACATGCAAACTCCACACAGAAATGCCTACAGGTCCAGCCGGGACTTAAACCAGCAACATGCTTGCTGTGAAAGAACAGTGCTAACTATTGAGCCACTGTGCCACCATAAATAATGTCTTAAAAAGATTTGTTTTATAAATCTTCCATAACCAAACGACAGTATGTCAACAACATATTAATTCCTTCAAGTGAAAAAATAACTCTAAAACACTTTACGAGAATCCTCTTTAACAAATGTGATACTTCACTGAAATGCATGTGATAAAACCCTATGACTATAAAAGATATATAAAATAAAATAAAATCTCTGGTTGTAGCCAGACCCAGATGCATAATGTATATCCTTATAACCGCAATGCAAATATAGCACAGCATAAAACACTGCATAGCTTCAAGGAAAATAATTCTGAAAGTAACATACCAGAGTCACTTGTTTGGAGGAGACTGGCCTTCCATTGTTCCAATCAGAACTCAGAGAAGGGACCAAAGGGGTGGAACCATTGGATGTGCCACAGCCAGTTCAATCTGAAATACAAAATGAGTAAAAAGAGAGAGACACACAAGTGCGTATTAACATCAGCAAAATTACAAACAGGAATTGATACCATTCTCTAAAGGTGGGGGAAGTCCCTTAAATTCACTCAACCCACATAAACCTGGATGATGACTCAAACGAGAAAGGAAAATGGCAAAAACGTGATGAAATCCGACCACAAATGCTTAATTTGGTGACAAATTAATTCCAGAAGTGACCTAAATGCATCTTAACACATTTTCAGATTTTCAACAGACAAGCATTTCTGACACTGGTGATATTTACATGGAGCATCTGATAATCAGCTCCAATCTGCATTGCTGTTCTGATGAATGACACTGACTGGAGGGACGACTCATTTAAAGAAACGCTGAGGCCACACACACACACACTAAGAGTGAATTCTTTGGAACGCTTTGTCAGATCCCGTAAGTCGGTGACACGTAGCTATGGCCAATCAGCATCAGTGGAGGTGATTTGCGTGGTAAAAATGCTTTTTGTGGAGGTCAGCATTTACCCAACTGTCTTCTCATTAAAAGTGACAGTGAGGCAAAAAGAAAAAGCAAAAGCAAAAAGGAGGGGGTAAAGAATGCTAGAAGGTGAGAAAAAAAAAGAGAAAACAGAAAGCGACGAAAAAGAAGAGGAGTGCCTGTCCTCGGAAACCTGACAAAGGTCCTCGTAGTGGCATTTTGAGGGCAAATTGTTTGACTATTGTCGTATTCAACAAAAGACTGGATGATAGATTGAATATTTGTGATGTGTCTAAAAGTATTTTGAAGGCATTCAAATGAGCAGATATCATGAATATTGCCACAATTTTAACACAATTGTTTTATTTTATCTACATTTTTTAAATGATCATGGCACATTGATTACTTGTGACACAATAAGAAAACAAAGAAAGATAAGTTAATGGTAACTAAACATGAAAATACTATACGTTTTCATATTTTGTATGTTGCAAGAGGAAAACTAAATATAAAATTATTACTCCTCTATTATATATACAGTTGAAGTCTGAATTATTAGCCCCACAGTTTATTTTTTCCCCAAGTTCTGTTTAACGCAGAGAAGATTTTTTTCCAACACGTTTCTAAGCATAATAGTTATAATAACCCCTTTCACACATACAGACCTTTCCGGAAAATTGCCGGCAATTTTCCGGAAAGGTTGTATGTGTGAACAGGTCCTTTTTGAAAATACCGGTAAATTCGTTCTGGCTATTTTCCGGAAAGAGAAGTTGTAACATTACCGGCAATTTGCCGGAATGCTGCGCTGTGTGAATGCAGAAGGAAGATTCCCGTAATAAGCGCGTGCACGTCTAGAACGTGCTGACGTGAGACGTCTGCTTTAGCCAATCACAACAGTCAGACGCATTTACGTCCGCGCGGTTTGTGAGGATAAAAGCCTTTGAATATTTTTCCAGACACATTTAGCTGCTAGAAGTTAGTCAGATCACGTTTATATGTTCTTCTTAATGCCAACTGTGTAAATAATCATCGATGAGATGCTTATGATAAGCCGTTGTTTGTTTACCCTCAAGCTTTGCGTGCGCCTATGAGCGCCTGCACACGCACATATTATGAACATCTCGACATGCGAAAGTGATCCTGCGAAAGTTGTTCACAATATTGATCATCCACAGAGTTTGTAATTGTTTACAATGTTTACAATGTTTACAAATACAAGCGCAGCCGTTTAAAGCTCATTTGTGGTGAATGATGTCAGAATTTACCGGTATTTTGGAATGGATGTGTGAATGCTCTTTTCCGGAAAATTTCCGTAACGTCCTCGCCTGTGTGAACAGCGCTTTTTTCAATATACCGGTAAAGTCATTCCGGAAATTTTCCAGAAATTTACCGGTATCACTGTGTGAAAGGGGCTAATAACTCATTTCTACTAACTGATTTATTTTATCTTTGCCATGACAGAAAATATTATTTTACTAGATATTTTTCAAGACACTTCTATACAGCTTAAAGTGACATTTAAAGGCTAAACTAGATTAATTACAGTAGGTTAACTGGGCAGGTTAGGGTAATTAGGCAAGTTACTGTATAACAATGGTTTGTTCTGTAGACTATTGAAAAAAAAATATGTAGCTTAAAGGGGCGAATAATATTGACCCGAATAAGGTTTTTTAAAATCAAAAACTGCTTTTATTCTAGCCAAAATAAAAACAAGTAAAACTTTCCCCAGAAAAAAATTATTATCAGACATACTGTAAACATTATTTTAAACATATAAAAGCTTTGGTTTAAACATTATTTTAAAAATATTTTAAAAAGAAAAAAAATTCAAAGGGGGGCTAGTAATTCTGACTTGTTGGCTGAATGAATAATTCTTTATATTTTTTTTAACTGAACAGTGGTTTAATCAAAAAAAAAATTGTACTGAAGAAATGACAATTTTGGTAGCCATTTTGTGATTTGCATATGTAAGTGCTTAATACTACATAAATAAAAGGTTAAGTGTATGGATGGGTCAACTGTATAATTATAAATGTAATTGCAGATAATAATATTACTATAACATAAGATATTAATCAGTAAAAAAAAAAGTCAATAATATTACTATAACATAAGATATTAATCTGAAAAAAAAAAAGTTTTAAAAATATTAAAGATGTTTAACAGGAGGAAAACTGAATATAAAATGTTATCTTAAAATCATATTTTTGTAATTTAATAATAATGCTTTAAATGCTAATTTTGGGTAGTCTATTTAGCCCTCATAATATAAGTGGCTTTGAAGACAACTAAACTAAACTTAAACTTAAAATAAACTTAAACTAAACAATGTAAAAAAACAATTAAATAAAATTAAAAATATATAGAATTAATTAAAATGTAATTAAATGTATTCAAATTAAAAAATATAAAATACATTTAAATTAAAATATTAAATTAAACTGTGGGTTAAGAATGTATGGGTGGGTCAACCAAAATAATTAAAGATATTAGAAAATATTAAAGATACAACTATTTAAAAAATACACTAAAAGATGCTCACAAAAAGTGTATTGTATGAAATGATTAATCTAAATATAAGTACATAGTGCTTAAGCCCACTGAATATAAAGTGGGACCGCAGTCCCACAGTGCTGTTTGGCATGCGTATACTATGCACTTATCACAGTCATAACACAAAGCAGGTAATAACAAGGTACTATCCCTAAACCTACATCTAAACCTAATCTTAACCCATGTAGTTACCTCATATTAAACAACATTCTGTAAGGCATGTTAAGTACAAATTAAATGCAACAGACTCTTTTTATTAATTTTTAGATACAATAATTTAACAAAAATATGTATTTAATCACACAGTATAGAGTTGAATTAATTATTAGCCCTCCTGTGAATTTTGTTTTATTTTTCAAATATTTCCCAAATGATGTTTAACAGAGCAAAGAACTATTCACAGTATTTCTATAACACGTTTTATTCTGGAGAAAGTCTTAATTGTTTTATTTCAGCAAGAATAAAAGTAGTTTTGATTTTTTTTTAAACCTTTTTGATATTATTAGCCCACTTAAGCAGTATTTTTTATTGACTACAGAACAATCAACTGTTATACAAAAACTTGCCGAATTAACCTAATTAAGCAAGTTAAGCCTTAAAATTAAGCACTTTAAGGTTTAAACTGAATACTAATATCTTGAAAATTTCTAGTAAAATACTATTTACTGTCATCATGGCAAAGACTAAAGAAATCAGTTATTACAGTAGAAATGAGTTATTAAAACTATCACGTTAAGAAATGTGTTAAAAAAAAACTTATTTCCTTTAAACAGAAATGGAGGAAAAATATCTAGGGGGGCTATTAAATCAGGATGGCTAAGAATTCAAACCTCATCTTTATATTAAATAAATAAAGATGTCAGGAAAAAAAACACTTTTCAGTAAATATCCAAATCATGCCTATGCCCCTCCTGAAGTGCCACATATTCAGTCTGTCCTCACCAGACTCGATAAAAGTCAACCCTTGCATTACAGCTTCATCTCCATGTAATTCCTGTGTGTGGAATTGAGCTAGCGCTAACCCCCTTAGCTGGCCGCATTCCTCTGTTCTGCATCGGGCGCTGAGCAGCTTCAGATAAGAGCCGCTCTGATTAGCCGCCCGCGTTCTTGTCATTGCTGCAGAAAATACACGATCCCAAAAGACCCTCTGCCCCCTTGCCGGTATTTATGACTCTCACATCACTGAACTCCCAAAATAGAGAGTTTAAAAGCGGCAACAGGAAATTGCTACAGGTAAAAAAGGAAAGAAAGACAGAGTGAGAGAGGGAAAGAGGAGTACTGTAGTATTTGAAGAAGTCAGGGCAGGTGAAAGTGAAAAAAAAAGGTGAAAACCACTCCAGTATAGAGATGGATCACCCAAATCTCACAAAAAGAAATCAGACAAGCTTTGTCAGCTTTACCAGCAGGAAGAAGACAAAGGGGAAAAAATCATATGTGATCTTGTTGTGTGGACGGTTACAAATATTCTTGCTGCTTTAGTTTTATTTTTAGTTGATTCAAATTAACATTATAATCATCTCATTGATCAAACATTAACTAAACTTTGAAGCTTAAAACTGCTCTTCAATCACCAGCCAGCAAACCGCTACCGGTCAACAAGTGAATCCACTATGTCTGTACAAGAAGATCAACTGCTGGATATCGCAAATGATGGCGGCCTTTTAGGGGGCGTTTGCATATCGCTTTTCTGGAGTTTGCTTAAGTTCGTTATTTCCAATGAAGGTGTGCGGCATGACACGTGAAAAGAACTGACCGTTCAGCTTGTATGGAATATACACATTTTTGTAGACTAATTATCTCAAACAAACACAGAACAACCAAACACTGCAGTGCTTTGTAAATTTCGCCATAAATAAAACTTCAGAGTGACAGCAATGTTTTGTCAGCTTGTCATCCTCTAAGAAAACAGTTGATGGTCATGTAGCAATCTACGAACCTTTTCTATCACCCGCCCCCACAATCCGTGG